ATATATATTATAATCTTCCTGTAATAGTTTTCTAGCTATAAAAAGATACTTAATAATAAGTTTTCTAAGTATTATATGAAAGCTAGTATTAAAACTATTATATAATTATAAAATAATATTAAATTGAGTATATTAATCTTATTTTCAGTATATTATATAGATCTTGTTACTTTAGTTAACAAAATATAGAAGATTTAGTAAATAATTGATTTTGCTAACTTTTATATACAAAATCTTTTCATAATTAATCTTTGAGATATTAGTTTTATATGATAATATAATATATATTAAGCATGGAGCTCTGTCTGATTATAAATATAAATAAACCAAATCATTCTAATAAATTATTTTAATGATCTTCAGAATTCCGAAATCAACTAGATATTTATACAGATTAATTATTTTTTATTCTTATAACACACAGGTATATATATAAAGATATTTTAAATATCTTATAAATAATTATACATAAGTACTAGAAATTAGATCTATTAATCTCGCTTATAAAATAATATAGTTTATTATTTTACTAATGATGCTAGATTACTCAAAACCATGATGTAAAATATTTGAAAATAATATTTTATCTTTTTATTAGCAGTAATGATTTCATTTTCTATTATAAATTTTATTCTAATAATAATACCCCTCTGGCCAGTTATGCAGAGAAAAAATAATATGATGAAAATATATATAAAAAAATAATTAATAGAATTGAATATATGTTATATTTTTCTAGTAATGAATAAATCTAGTAAATAATATCTCAATTATCAATAATCTAATTTATATAGATAAGAATAAATACCCCTGATCTATATAAATAATGTGACGGCGAGTGACGTTTCTGGGTCACATAATTTCTGTTTTATTTATTTATCTTGCATAGCTTGCTTATCTTTATATAATTATATATATTTTTAAAGCTTCTTTCTTTCTTTCCTTATACTAGAAATTCTTGTTAAATAATATTAAATTTAACTATTTAAATAATTTTTATATAATTCCTAGCATCATATTTTTTTTTATCTTTTTAAATTTATATTATATACTATTAATTATTTAGCTCAGCAGCTGGTATTATTTTTATATATATTTAATTATATTAAACACAGCCAAGACAGAACAACCAGATTAAAATTTAAACTAGAATAATTAATAAAAATATTTATAATAATCAGAGAGAGCTATACTAAATTAATATTATATATTATAAACTCTTTATAATATCTGATAATCTTACTAAAAAATCTAATAACTAGAAGGATATAATCTATAACCAGTTCTATAAACTATATATAAAAAAATCCCGATAAAATCTTTAATATAATTCTTTATATTATAGAAAAAATAAAAATAAAAATATATAAGACTATCTACCAGCAGGATAAGTTTAATAATGACTATAATAAATTAATATATAAATATTATTTATATATTATTTATTTTTTTAATTTAATAACTAGGATAGCCAAGCAGCTGAGATTTTTAAATTTAAAAAATTAATAAAGATTTCTAATTTACTTTTATTTACTAATGTTAAAATTATTAATTTTAAAAACTAGCTTCTTGCAATGTAATAAAAACTAAAAATTAAATATAAATTATTTAAATATACGATTATTATCTAATAAATTTATATAATTATTTATTATAAAAATAATATAAAAAATATTAAATTTTTAAATACAATTCTAATATTTTAGATTCTCATATAAATATAACTGATATACTTAAATACCTAGAAATTATTTATGTTAATTTAAATGAAACTTATAACGCGCGCCAGTAGTATCAAAAATTTAAAATAATAATTAATAATAAATCTTATAATTTTATATTTATATTTTATTATTTTACAGTAAAAATAAATATTACTGAAATTTATTTAAAAAATAATTTTTATTAATATTTGTTATTAAAGTTATAAAGTCTAATAATATCCTATTTTAATATTAATAACATAATATTTAAATAATATATTAAAAAGTACACCTGATCATCAGACTTTAATTAATAATATAATAAAATATTATAATAAGATACATACTCTAAATCATTAATTATTTATATTAATTATTATTATTATAATAAATATAAATCACTTCTACTTCAATTGAGATTTTTTATAATACTAGTTATACTACTAGTATAAAATTAGAAAAATATATTTAAACATTGATTAAAAATATTACTTTATTTACCAGAAATAAAAATATTTAATTTAAAATTATTTAAAGAAGAAAACAGGCCAGATTAAATTATTAAAAATAATAGAAAATAATAATTTAATAAAAAATATTATTTAAAAAAGTCTTTTTTCTAAATAAAATAAATATTAATATTAATTTATTCAATTTATAAAATTTACTAGATTAAGAGAATAACAACTTTATTATTAAAATTTTAATATTAAACAATATATTAATAATATTCATATATATTCTTACTAATATTAAAATTAATATTTATATTTATATGAATACTATCTTTATTATTTAAATAATTTATTATTTTTAAATTAATACTATCTTTCTTAAGATTAATTATATTATTATAGACTTTAATAGTAAAACTATAATATTTTTATTTTATATTATTTAATTTATACTCATGATTAACAGATACTAGTTTTATAATATATTATTTTTAATATTTAATCTAAACTGCTATGATATTATTTTAAAATAAATATAATTTATAAAATATAAAATGTTACTAGATTATTAGTAAAATAAGTTAATATAATTTAATTATTTTTTTATAAAATGAAATTAAGACTAGACTATTATAATAAATCTTTTAATATATTATATTATAATATTCTATTAATCAGAACTATTAATAAAATATTATTTAATTAGTTATAAACTTTAAAAAATAATTAATATCTGACTATTGTGGAAGCTGTTTAAATGGTCAAATTTGGTGCTATCTAATAGAAATTTCTAGCGTAAGAAAAGAAAGGAAGAGGCTCAGAGAGAAATATATAATTATATAAAGTAAATAAATAAAATAAATAAAACAGAAATTACATGATCTAGGAATATTATTTACTATTATATTATTTCTTATTTAAGTCTGGCTGTTCTTAACTAGTAGTAGATTATTTTTTTATAATCAGATATAAATTTATTAACTTTTATAACTATTAATTATTATAAAAGATATTTAGAGAATCTGGAATAAATAAAATATTTTATATAATAATTCTAAAACTAGAAGAAGATATTCTTAAAGTTTTTTATTAAATATTAAATATAATCTGTTATATTAAATACTAATTATTTAATTTAATACAAAAATAATTATATTATAGATAGTTTACTAGAATATTTTTAATTTTCTATTTTATTTAATTATTAATTTTAATAGATATAGTAGTATCTTAAATTTATTTTAATAATAAATTAAATATATTATACAGACAGAGCTTCTCAGGATAAAAAAGAAAGTATATATATATATTAAAATCAATAAATCTTATATATATTATTTATCTTATTAATAATAAATATAAAATTATATTAACTTTTAAATAACTTTTACAAGAACTAGTTTTATATTTAATTATAGATATTAGTAAAGATTTTATTACTAATATTAAAATTAATAAAATAGTAAGACTAATTAGCCTACTATATTCATTAATTTTATATTTTATAAATTTTTTTATATAGAAATCTAGATTTATTTTATATAATAAGTAAACTTGTAAACTTATTTTTAGATAATAATATTTATAATTTTTTTAATCTTAATTAAGATCTTCTGTAATACCAGTTATACTATTAATATAAAATTAAAGAAATATATTTATATAATAGCTAAAAAATACTGCTTTATTTATTAAAAATAAAAATATTTAATCTAAAATTATCTGAAGAAAAAAGCAGGCTAAATTAATTTATTAAAGATAATAAAAAATAATAATGTAATAAGAAATAATATTTAAAGTCTTCTTTCTAGATAAAATAAATATTAATATTAATTTATTAAACTTATGAAATCTGCTAGGCTAAAAGAATAAAAATTTTATTATTAAAATTTTAATACTAAATAATAGATTAATAATATTAATATATACTTTTACTAATATCAGAGTTAATATTTACATTTATATGAGTATTATTTATTATTTAAATAATTTATTAGTTCTAAATTAATATAATTTTTTAAAATTAATTATACTGTTACAGACTTTGATAATAAAATTATAATATTTTAAATTATATTATTTAGTTTATGTTTATAGTTAATGGATATTAGTTTTATAATATATTATTTTTTATAGTTAAATTAAATTATTATAATATTATCTTAAAATAAATATAATTTATAAAATAAAAGACATTACTAGATTACTAGTAAAATAAATTAATAGAATTTAATTATCTTTTTTATATTATAAAGTTAAGACTAAATTACTATATTAAATTCTTTAAAATATTTTATAAAAGATTTTAATAAAAATATATCAAAGTCTAGTAGACCAGAGCTTTTAATATTAAGTTTCTAGAATTTTCTAAAATTCTTAAAAAATATTTTTAAAAAATTTAAAATAATTTTTATTAGAGCTACTGCCTTCTATAAGTATCTTTAAAATTCTAAATTAAAAATATCTATTATATTTCTAAGCATGATTAAGAAGATTATTATAAAAAAATAAAACTTTATATAAAATATTTAAACTAATTAAAAAGGAGATAAAACAGACTTTTTTAAAGATTATTATAATTTAATAAAAATTTTTTAAAAAGAAATTAGATATTTTATCTTCTTTTTAATCTTATAATTATAATATCTCATTAAAAAATAATTTACTAGGAACAGCCCCCTTTTATAAAATAATTTTAAATTCTTTTAAAATTACTTTCAATTATTATATTATTAGGAATTTAAAAAAAGAATTTATTATATTTAATATAATTTTATTTACTGTTTTTATTCTGATAGTAAAGAAGCCTTGAGAAGAATTATATTTTTACATTAATTATTAGAAGCTTAATATTCTGACCTATAAGAATCTCTATTTTATTTTTTTAATTGATAAGATAATAGACTGTCTCTGGAATATAAAAATATTCATAAAATTTAATACTTATAAAGACTTTTATTATATATGTATAAATCCTGAATTTGAAAATTTAAGTATTTTTTAAATTTATTATAGAATTTTTACATATTAAATATTATTATTTTAATTTATAAATAAACTGGCAGTCTTCCAGTATCTTATTAATAGAAGTTTTATAGATTTCCTGGATAAATTTATTTTAATATATATAAATAAGATATAAATAATATATTAATTTTTAATAAAATAGGATATAAACTTTATATTTATTAGATTTTTAAATATTTTTAAATAATTAGATTCCAAGCAGTATTCTATAAATATAAATTTTATATAATAAAAATTAGCTTTCTAGATTTTATTATTATTATTACAAATATGTAGATTAATCTTATAAAAATTATAATAATTATAAAATAATAATATCTAATTATTATTAAAGATCTAATTATATTTTAGATTTTATGATTCCTACAGTATTATATAAGAAATTATAACTGGATTATCATGTCTATAAACTAATTTATTTAAAAAAATATCTTATTTATCTAGGACTAGTTCTGTAAAAAAGTTTTTTAAATTTTAAAATTTTAAAGTAAATCTTAAAATTAGCCCCAGTATTAGTCCATTATAATTAATTAAAATCTATATATATTTAAATTAATATGACTAATAAATTAATTATAAAAATTCTTTTTTAGTAAATTGGAAATATATAATATTCTGTAATTTATTATTTAAAATTTATATTTTTATCTAAATATAAATATAATATTTATGAAAAATTAAAAATTATTATATATATTGTTATGGAATAGAGAGCAGAGCTAGAAAATATATAATAAGAATTTTTTATATTTTTAATAGATTATTAAATTTTAGAATATTTTATAATTATTTAAAATTTTAATATTCAGCAAGCTTGTTAGACAGAAATATTATTATAATATTATTTTATTATTAAAATATTAATCTAGAAAAAAATAATATATTAGCTAATTATCTTATATAAAAAAAGACTAATTTATAAATAATTAATAATTATTATTATTATATATTATTAAAATCTAAGTTTCTAGAACTAGATATAATTCCAGATCTAATACTAGTAATTTTTATAAAATAAAATCTTTATATTATAAATATTATTCTAGAAGTTGACTATATCTATTTTTTCTAGAAGATCTCCAGAAGTAAATCTATCAATAAAAGATTAATTATTTTTTGTAAATTAAGCTACTTTTATAAAATAAATTAATAATTTTTGATAAAAATAATTTTAAAAATTTAATTAGGAAATAGAATTTACTGGTAGTTATTACTAGCTTACTCGGAATAAAAAAATAATAATCTTAGTTGATTATTAATATTTTTAGAGTATTTAAAATAAAGATATCTGATATTATATAAGTAATTATCTAATTTATAAAAAATATATATATATATATAATAATTTATTATTTAGATTATTCTAATATTTTCTAATTCTTAATTAATTATAATAATATATATTTATAGACTTCTGCTCCTTTCTGAAAGATAATAATAAATTTAAAATATTTTTATAATAATAAATTATTTTAATAAATATATGGTGTCTATTCTCTAAATAAAATAAATCTTTATGTATAATATAATCTACTTATTTATTAATTAAATTTATATTCAAATAAAATTTTCTAATTATCTCTGATTAAGAAAGTTAATTTATAACTAATTTTTAAAATAAAATATACTTAATTCTATAAAGTAAATTAAAGTTTTAATAATATATTATTTATAAATCAATAAATAGATAAAGATTATTAATTAATATATAGCCCACTAATTTATTCTATTTATTAATTATCTCTAGATTAATTAACTAAAATTATTATTAATAATTAATTTTACTGCCGTGGCTCTGCTCCATGAATTTATTAGAATCTTATTTATAATTAAATAAATTTTAAATATTAATTAATTAGATTTCTCTAGCAGACCTGCCATTATATATTATTATTTAAAACAAAGTTTATAAATTTATCTATTACATAAAATAGATTTAGATCTTTATATAAAATAAAAATTGAAAAATATAAAGCTAGTAGATATAACAGACTAATTAATTTTATTATTTTATTAATTTTAATATAAATAATAAAGATTTTATTAATATCTGTGACTAGAAATAGGGCCAGTTCTTATAAATATTATTAAAAATTTAATATAGTCCTATATTTATTATTAATAATATTAATAATATATATAAGATTTACCTTCTTAAGAATATATATATATATATTCTATCTTCTATTCTAAAAGGTTCTGTTTATATAATATATTTAATTTATTATTAAACTAGATCTAAGATACTGCTGTATCTATTACATTTAATAGTTAAATTAAATAAAAAATAAAAAATATTCTAGCAAGTTATCAACAGTATAGTTATATTCAGTATAAAATCAAGTATTTAATAAAGAATTTTAAAAAAATTTTCTTTTAATTTTAAAATTATTGTATAAAATATTTTATTTATTCTGGACCTCCTAAGTGTCTTCTATAATAGTTAATAGCTATGGACGCTAATAAAATTATATTAGATTATAAAAAAATAATTTACTACTAGCTGAGAGCAGCTAGATTTAAATAAAAAAGTAATATAATAGTAAGTAATATCCTAGAATTATATAATTTTGTTTTATTTATTTTATTTGCTTATCTTATATTATTTATTTATTTTTATATAATTATATATTCTTCTCTAAGCTTCTTTTTTTCTTTTCTTTTACTAGAAATTCTCGTTATATAGCACCGAATTTGACCATTCGAACAGCTTCCACAATCTATATTTAGAATAATATTTCTATTACGTAGATAAAATAAATTATTTTTAATTTTTTCTTGCGTTATTTCCGGGCGGATTAGTTTTATATAATAGATAAAATATGAATATTATGAAAAGCCTTATAAGATATTAATTATAATATAAATTTTTAGATGGACACTCTAGTATAGTTTTAAATAGATATTAATTACTTAAAAATATTTAAATTTGAACTATAAATACTAGACACACATGCTACTGTTAAAAAAAGGTATATAATTATTAAAAAAATATGTAATCTCAGATCTAGCTATCTAATTATCTTCTTATATGGTTAGCTAGCTTATATATGTATATAATATTGTCTATATTGCTGTTATAGGTTTAGGTTATGAGCTCTTGTAGCTATAAATTATTAAAGATTTATATTCTCTATTATTTTTTCAGTGTTTTATATATTATATATAAATATTCTTATATTTAAGATTTCTTATAATTTTAGATTAGTATATTATATACTTTTATAATGATTTAGCCGGCTTGATATTGAGATTTAATATTTACTAATAAACCAGATCTTTTACTACGCAAGGAGCATGGCTAAATATTATAATAATATTTGAAATTTTATTTTATATCAATATCTCTAAGACTGTTCTGAAATTAAGAACTAGACTTACTAATTATTATAATAAAGTAATTTATGGGGTTATTTATACTTATATAATCTGGATATATGGATTTTATTTTAAGAATAAATATATTGTTTTAAAAAAACCAGTTTCTTTATTCTCAGAATCGAAAATAAATATATATTAATTATTGATATTTATAATTATAATATTTTATTTACTAAATGAGAACTGTAATACAGTATTAAATAAATTAAACAATATAATTATATTTTACTTATCATATATAACTCCGACTATAAAAAATAGAAATAATTAAATTATCTTATATTTATAATTTTTGATATTATATATAAAGCTAGTTTTATAATATATTTCTAGAACTATGACTCCATGCTCAAAGTATATATTTTCTAAAAAATATATACACTCTTTCACTTTATGATTAGTATTTATTTATATAAATAAATAATTATTCAATTTACTATAATAGTACAAGTAGTTAAAAACTTTTTTATATATTATAGAAATATTCTGAACAAACTTTATAGTATCAAAATTACTAATGATTATACTAGATTATTATAACTCAGTTAAATAATTACAATATACCTGCCTTGCAGCTGTTTGTTATAAATTAATATATAATATTAATAAGAAGTAAAAGTGTAATTTATATATATTTAATTTATGTAATCAAATATACATATAAAAATTAGTTATTTCAATAAATTATATATACAGTTAATAATAAATCTCAGAATAATAATGATAATATATAAAATAGTAATCATAGTAGTTACAGCTATAATTATAAATATAATTATAAATATAATAATATTTCTAGTTATAATACAAATTGAATAAATTTTCTTATATAATACAAAAGAAGGTAACTTGAAACTGCTGAAATAAATATTATAAAAATCATTTTTTAAATAAGTACTTATTAAATATAAATAACAATAAATATAAAATAATATATTTATAATATCTATTCTGTCTGTACTACTATCTGGAATAATATTTTTTAATATCCTAATATTAATTCTAACCTTTTGATATTTATACTGTATTATATTACTTTAATACTAATATCATAATTTAAAAAGATTGATATCTGAATTACTTATATAATCAGATACTTAATTCTAGAACTGACAAAATAATAATTTATTATATATACAATTTAGACTTTCACTTCCTATATATATACAGTAAAAAAACTATTATTAATAATGTTTGTAAAACTATTAATTATAATATTATTTTAATGAGATTGATATATAAACAGAATAGATCTTGTAGATTTTTAAAATTAATTATACTTAATATATACTGATATTATTATATAATGTTATTTTATATAAGCAGCTGGCGTGCCAGGATATTTATATAAATATATATTAAAATTAAAAAAATTATTATTTAAAACAGTAAGTGGATTAGTTTCATTATTATTAAAAACATTTAATATTTTATATATATAATTAATATTACAAGCTGGAAGATAATTCAGGATTTATATATTAAATATTTTATTTATATAAATATATATATATATTGCTATTTATATACAGCTAGATGAATATATATTATGTTGTTATTTTTATTAATTATATTTTCTGATACTATTGGATATTT